AAGTCTAGACGTGTGCCAGACCCCATTACAATAGGACCCTGGATGTTATTGTGACAACTAGCTAGTTTCATTTTGATAGTAGGCATGATTTGCTTTGTTCATGATTCCTTGCTGTGTGCAATGGATATGCAGGTAGTCTTGATATGGGACTGTACTTTACCTTACATGTAACTTAGATATGTCACTGAAGTATCTTGTCAATTGATGTTTTGTATAGTGCCATGTCATTTTTAGTAATGCACATTTGTTTTCTTTGTTTTCAATAGTTTTCTAAATGCGTTACCCAAGATGTTGTTTAAAACATTGATGTGTTGATGTTATGTAGTTATAGGTTTCAAGCTTACCCTAGATGATTTTTGCAAGGGACGGCAAAAAGTTTCAGTCCAAAGGAGAAATGTTACTCCATCCCCGCTTAGGTAGAATGGGGGCCAGTTCCCTAAAGGACAGGACTGTGACACTGCATGTTATGAACACATAATGAGAAGGGACTTCTTTGGATTTGGAGAGCCTGTAGGGATAAGCAGAAAAGTGGTCAAGAGAAGCAAGCATGAACCTTTGAAAGGAAGACTAGAGATCTCCCCAAAGCTGCAGATATATGAAGAAGCTAACCCTCAACATCTTTCTTGATTCCCACTTACTGCAACCCTAGAGACTAGGAAGAGCAGATCCTCTGTCTTCCCCTACCAGAGGAGGTTATTCTGTCTTACCTAGACTCCAAAGAGCTCATTTTCTCTTGACTCTTCTGTCATCTACTCTAATCTATATAACCTCTTTAATTTCTGTTTACTGTTCATTTTGATAACAAAATTTACTAGTTACTCATAATTGTCATTTGCATAACCAGCATTTAGCTGGAGGGAATTAAGTTGGTGAAATTAAGCAAAGTGTTACCCTCCCCTTCAGAAGGATGAGAAGTTCCTTTTATTCTAAACCTTATCATGTCACCAGACTACAGATATTTGATATGAGGTAGATAGATACAATTCTAGCCTAAACTTCTTTCTTCAAGACAGACAAGGGAAGGAGTAGCTGCCCAGCCATTGCTCTCCTTGCATTGACCCAGGGGAGTGAGTCGGGTGAGGTTGGCCAGAAAAGGGATTCTTTGGAGAGGCAGCTTACTACAGCACTTTCACTGTGCCTATTGCAGCACTGGGCTGGGCATGGAGCTTGTTTCCTTAATTGTTTGACCTCCATTTTGAGGAAGTGCCCAGGCCAGCCACGCTCATGACGCACCTTCTCTGCCTTCACTGACTCCGGACTTTTCCACCATGTTCCCTTTTTTCCCTCCACTCTGCCCCTCCCAACTTCAACTTTCAGCTCCTTTTTACATGTTGTCATTCTCCATTAGAATTTAAGCTCCAAGGGCAAGGATTTCTTTTTTATTCTATTTATTTTCCTAGTGCTTAGGACAGAGCCTAGACGTAGTAAGTACTTGATAAATGTTTGTTGATCTTTTATCTTCCTCCCTACAAAGATGAAAATTGTAGTGTCCCTTGTAGATGGGTAGGCCAGATACCAGGGCAGATGTCTGTCTATCCATGCCACATATGGGCTAGCCATATTTATATTAAACAGAAGCATCCACACATTCTTATTAAAATTACACGCAAAGGAAATATCAGAGTGGCAAGAAAGTATATAAGAGGAGGATGATATTATTTACAAGTTGGGAGAGGGGGAACAGATTATAAAAGTGAAAGTCCCCTGAAATATGTATGCCTTGAAGGAAGAGATGGAGATAAAATAATCAACCAATTAATAATGATTTATTAATTAACTACCATGTGCCAAGAGTTACGTATAGTTCCCAGAGCAGTATGTCCAGCCATTGAGATGACCCTGTATCCTGATGTAGCTCCCAGTGCTCTGGCCCTTTCTCCTGGGACTCTGTCTGTTGCTTCTATTCTTCTAGGTCAGGAATAGGATCTAGGTACAGAATTGTACCCCAAAGCTTACACTAGTTTGAGGCATCATCACCCTCTCCCAAGAATGGCTTTGTTTCAGAGGTCCTGCTGCTTTCATGCACACTTGGTAGAGTTTGTATTGACTTCCCTGGCATGACCCCTCTCCCCAGGGCTCACAGGCTTCAAACATGTCGTATTTATCTTTGTATCCTCTCCCTCTCCCTCACCAGGACTGGGACCTGCCCCAGTCCCACACCATCCGGCTACAACACAAAAAGGCCAGTCACATAAGAAAAGACAATTTGTAAAAGATATAAGAGTTAGCAGAATGCAAGCTCAAAATGAATAAGCAGGGTAATATGGTAACAACGAAGGCCAGTTCAGTCTTGGTCATCCTTAAAAGAAACATAGCTTCCAGGAATAAGGAGGTGACAGTCTTGCCCTTGTCAAACCACACCAGGAACAGCTTGTTCAGTTCCAGGAGTCACAGTTTAAGAAGGATGCTGATAACCTAGAAAGCAACTAGAGGATGGTTCCAGGTGGGTCTGGAATCTATGCCATAAAATCTGTTGAAAGAATTAGGATTATTTAGTCCAAAAGAAAGAAAACTTAAAGAGAGCAATGGCAAATTGTCTTCAAGTGTTTGAAAGGCTTGTCACGTGTAAAAAGGATTAATATTGTCCTGTTTGGCCTCAGAGACCATAAGGAACAATTGGAGGAAGTTGCAAATGGTAAATTTAAACCTGATGTCAGGGGGTAAAACTTCCTAGTAATTAGAGCCATCCCAAAGTGAGGTAGGCTCTTGGAGAGTGACACATTCCCCTCTGCTAGGGATCTTTAAGTAGAAACAGGGTGACCACTTGTGGGGGATACTATAGGAGAGTCATGACTCTGGAACTGAAAGAGACCTTAGATGACATCTAGTCCAACCCCCTCTTTCTACAGATAAGGAAACTGAAGGTCAAGTGACGTGGCTAAGGTCACATATCAGAGGCAGGATTTGAACCCAGGTCCTCTGATACCAGAGTCAGTGCTCTTTCCAATGCACCATATTTTCTATATGAGTTGGATTTGTATGGATTGGTTTGAATCCCATCTCTTCTACTATCTTTGGACTTTGGACAAGTTAACCTATCTGGGTCTTAGTTTCCTCAGCTTCCAAATAAGGGAGTTGGAATGAGTGACCTTTAAGATCCCTTACAGTTCTGTCTAGGAATATACAAAGTTCAGGGTTTTTCATCTGATGACTAGCCTTCTGTGGGTCAAACATCAGAAGGAAACCATTTTGTATTTACAGTGTGCCTTTGCTTGCTTCTCATAGGAACAACTACTAGGGGATAAAACAGCTGAACTTTCACTTTACCAGAATACCTGGTTCAGAGTGTGTCTTCTATGGGACACCCTGGATCTAGGAGAAACTGTGGACACAAATCTGCCTGCTAGATATTTTATCATATGTTATTTTTTCACTTTGCTGATTCTATTTTTTCAAAGTTGTAACCATTAGATCAGGGTTAAGAACCTTTTTTATGGCAAGGACCCATTTGGTAGTCTTCTCAGAATGATGATGATGATGATGATTCAGTATTAAAGGAAATTTAACTTCCTTTCATTTCCGTTAACAGCTAGTAAAAATAAAGATAACATTGTTGGGGTTTTTTCCCATCAAAGTTCATGAACCCTCTGAATCCATCCTTGTGGGGGGACATGTACTCCAGGTGAAGAACCCTGCACTAAGGGTTCTAGCAGGTTAGGTTTGTGGCCTGATGAGGCAGATGTAAGTGTACAGGCTCATAGTAATTCTGCCCTTGGAAGTATAGTTGTGAAAAATTTGAGTTGCTGAGGATGATGCCCCCAGTTAGAAAGAAAAATCTTCCTTACAATGGGCTAGGGTGGAGGGAGATCACAGAAATGCAAAAGGCCACTCTCCCCTGTGTGGTTCCGCACTGTCCTCTAGTGCTGTGGACAAAAGGAGAAAAGGAAATGCAAAGGAAAAGGAAATCCACAGGTGTTTATGAGATATAAGATTACAACCTCAGATGCAGTCACTGACAGAATTAAAAAAAAAATCACCCCTAGAAAAGGATGCCAATTGCACCCATCTTAAGTAAGGCCAAGGAAAGGAATAAGGCCTTCCACCCAATTCCTGATATATATTTTCCCTCAGTGAAACAAACCCCTAAGGGAATGTGGGGGGGAAGAGGAGGGAAAAGAAGAGGAGGGGGACAAGAATTCTTATACCTTGCCACTTCAGCTTTTGCCTCCCCAGCCTCCTAATAGAAGGTGCAGATGATGTCTCCAGGGCTGCTGCCATGCTTGGAGATACCCCATCACCTCTTTCCTTTCCACTTGTTCTCTTTCTTCTCTCAAGAGACCCTTAAAACTACTGCTATAGGGGGAAGCCCCACCCTCCAGTGCTTATGTCCCATTACCTTCTATTCTTCCCATGCTGGAATAAAATGGAATTCCTTTTTTTTCTTTAGAAACGTAGTTCCCCCACCCCGACCCCCTGCAAGACATCCAGCCCAAGCCTTACCAGGACTCTTACACAGAAAAATACCACATACTATCCAAGCATGTATGCCTTTTCCCATGAGAGCCTGACTCCATTATGCCAAGGTCATATGAGCAAGGATCAATTAAATTTTGCAATTTGGGAGGAGGCAGTTTCTAGTAGGTGGGTGCTGTTCAGTCATCTCTGTCACGTCCAGCTCTTCATGATCCTATTTCGGGGTTTGTTGGCAAAGATCCTGGAGTGCTTTGCCATTTTCTTCTCTAGCTCATTTTACAGATGAGGAAATTGAGGCAAACAGGGTTTGCCAGGGTCACACAGCTAGTGAGTGTCTGAGGCCAGATTTGAACTCAGGAAGATGATTGATAATTAGTCCTTAGACTAATGAGATTTGTGGTCCTCCAGGGAGAGGCAAGGCTAGGGGATAGGTTTCCCACTCTTGTTTTGTTTGTTCCTTTGTGGTGAGGCAATGGGGTTAAGTGACTTGTTGTCCAGGGTCACACAGCTAATGAGTATCATGTGTCTGAGGCCAGATTTAAACTCAGTCCTCCTGACTCCAGGGCCAGTGCTCTATCCACCTCGACACTTAGTTTCGCACACTTTGGGAACCGTGGAGAACTTGGCACTTCCTCAGCACTCCCCAGTACCTAATTGTCTGGGTGACTGTGGGACTTCACGGAGCCTGATAAAAGAGGATCAGGTAAGTGACTAGTAATACCACTAGCAACCCCTGGTGGTCAAACATGGCTCACAGAATTTAGCTGGGGTAGTTAAGGAGAGGAGCAGCACTGAGTAATTAATAGAGAACTGATCCCGAGAACAAGGAAGAACCGAGTTCAAGTCCTACTTCTGAAATATATTGCCTGTGTGATCTAGGGCAAATCACTTAACCTCTCAGTGCTCTCGGCAACTCTCTTAAGTTGTAAATAAGGTGCCAACCTGCATTGGTAGAGGGAATTTCCTCATATGGGAGTTCCCTATAAGAATGAAATCACATGTCCTATTTCTATCCTCTGTTTAAGGAGAAGGAAGATTGTTTACTACTCAAGGTAATACTGGGACCAATCTTCCTTTGGTAGCAGAATTGTCTTTTTCCTGGGGAGAGAAACCCAAATAAGACTGACAGCCTGGTAGGGGCATAGCTGAAACTATGTGGGGAATCCTCCCTTGTATGACCTTTTCTGTGAGCTGACCAGCCAATAAAATACAGTCAGAGTAGGATTAGCAAATCATGGTGTACCTATTTCTTCTTTTTCATCCTTTCTTACCCTCAGAATCTTGTATACTGTGGCTGTGGTTAGTAGCCATTTTTTTTTTTTTGGCAAGGGTGAGTTCACCAAAAGGCAATACTGTGATGATAGAGAATTCAGATACAACTCAACCTGTAATCTGATATACAGATTGTTCTCAGACTCTACCCCATCACTCCAAAAGCCTATTTGAGGAATTTAGACATTCTGAAATGGTACTTAGGGAGTGGATTTTGATAACCATGGATGCCAGTATATGCTGACATATATTTTAGAAAAGCACCCAAAACACAAGACTAAGAGGGAGGAGCCTAGGAAGAAACAGACTTGAAGGGCTTTAATGGTTAAAATAACCAAGTACCAATCTTCTTTGGTTCCTCTTTCTATCTGTCAAAGATTCATGACTTAGATCTTTGGGAGAATCCCCCCCCCATTTCAGAAGACTTTTGGGCAGTATTCTGGAGCCAATAACCCATCCTCTATCACCACCACCTCTACAGCAAACCCATCCTCTATCATCACCACCTCTACAATAAAATTTTAGGTAGCCCCTCCTTCTCCTTCATACGTACTTCTTAGGCACCACATTACTCTTTTGTGATTTCTTTTCCCCTTCAAAGCAGTTTGCTCCCTTAGGCCATTAAGATTTCAGCCTTTTTTCTACATTTTTCTTGGTTTGTTTTTTTTTGGGGGGGTTAGGGGGAGTGGTAGAGGAGGGGATCTGTGCTCTCTTTTGCAACATGGATAATATGGAAATATGTTTTGCCTGACTGTACACGTGTAATCTACATCAAAATGCTTCCCTTCTCAAGGAGTGGGGAGGGGAGGAAAGGAGGGAATTTGGAACTCAAGAACTATTAAAAAAGAATGTTAAGATTTGTTTTTACATGTAATTGAGGGAAAAATAAAAGCATGACTTCAGCTTTTTCTTTGAGATTCACCCCCTTGGGGATGCTCTAGTAGGCAACTATGTGAGAATCTTGGGTTACTGATTAGGCTTCCATTTTATAAATGTCAACAGGTCAGTCAACAGGCCAATTTAAGTACTAACCAGTTGCCCATGTTTTAACTGATAAATTTTCACCCACCCTTCTTTTATCATCCATCCCCGTTACCCTACCCCCATGGCTGCAGTGTGCCTTCTACTCTCAAGACTTTAAGCTGCCCCACTACTCTCATACCTCCTAAATCCCACAGCCTCTTGCTCCACTTGTCTCTTATTCATCAAGATAGCAAAAATCATCTGCTGTTCTGCCTTCTTTAGGAAGATAGGAAGCTTATAGGGGTATATTACTCTTCCCTACAGGCTTGCCAATCTCTGCTCATCTCAAGATATGGAGTCATTCTTTGCTCCCTTCCCCAACTCCCTTAAGAAAAAAGAATTCTGATTTTATGTTCCTAGGAGATAGGGAAGGCTGTGGCACTTCTTATACTAATAGCTTACGTTTATTTATATAATACTTTAAAGTTTACAAAGCACTTTCCTAACAACAATTCTGTGAAGAATGTAGCAGAGCATTATTATCTCAGGGATGTGAAGTGAGGCCCAGGGATGTGAGGTGATGGACCATAATCACACAGCTAATAAGTATCAGAGCTAGGTTTTAAAATCAGATTACCTGTCTCCAAATCAGTGCCCTTTTCTACTGTACCAAGCTGCCTGTGAAGACTACAGGATACACCTCATCCTATTCCCCCAAAGAGACAGAAGATGGATTAAATATATTGAAATTTGATAGTGCCAAAATTGCTAAAGACTGAGGAAATGCCGCTGAAAATGTACAGTTCTCTCACTGGGCCCCTCCATTTTGCTTCCTTTTGACTTTGAGATGTTGTTGCTAGGGCAAGATGTTGTTATATCTGTCCTGAGAACATTTAACCTAGAGAGCAATCTATCACTTTAAAGATCAAATTTACATGACAGTAATAAAATCCTATAATCTCCTGGTTTACTAGTTCTCCCACCATTTCCTGCTAGTCCATCCCCTAGCCTAGAAGAGATGCTCTTGTCTTATGAAACTCTTTCCTCCTTCGTTGTGTTTATTCAGTGAGAAGGAGGTGACGTAGCATCATGGAAAGAGCCTTAGACTTGGAGTCCAAGGGTATAAATTCTAAATCTGAAAAGAATGCTAGAAATCATCTTATCTAACCTGTTCGTTTTACCTTTCAAAAAATTGAGGCCCAAGAAATAAAATGTCTTGCCCGAGATCATCTGAAGGCAAGGCATATTATAGATTATTTTCAGGTTTACAAAATACAGTCCTCCAAGGTTAGCATCACAAGTATTACTATTCCTATACTTAAAAAAAAAAAGCTATATCTGTGATTTCATTAGTATAGGGAATTCTTAATGAGGAAGCACCTCCTACCAAAGCAGATCAACAACTATTCTGCATTTTTTTTTATTTAGGCAATTGGGATTAAGTGACTTGCCCAGGGTCACACAGCTAGCAAGTGTCAAGTGTTTGGTCTGAGGCCAAGATTTGAACTCAGATCCTCCTGACTTCAGGGCCGGTGCTCTATCCACTGTGCCACCTAGCTGCCCAGCTATTCTGCATTTATTAAGTGCCTACTATTTGTCAGGCACTGTGCTAAGCCCTCTCCCCTTTAATGCAGTTGACTGGTTTGTCTCTGAGTGTGTTTGGATAGGTTTCATCACTATCACACCTCTTCGATTCCCAACTAATCTCTGTTTTAAGCACAACGAAGTGAAAATATTCTGTGTGCTTCTCTCAGAAGAGGGAGCTGATCAGCCCAAGTGGTCTTTCATTGATTGTGCTGGAGGTAACCCAGGGACCTGTAGATGCACAATCTCTAATGTAGTCCATAGCTCAGAGCATTCCATGGGGGCACCAGGAAAGTGACCAGGATCATACAGACAGTATGTATTAGAGATAGGTCTTGAACCCAGGTCTTCTTACTTCTGAGGACAACTTTCTCTTCACTATGCCATGCTATTCTTATACTACAGATGAATAAACTGAGAGAAGAGGTTAAGTGACTTAGATATGGTTATACATCAGATACATAGATAGATAGAACATTTCTTAGGTGTTTTACAACGTACCAGGCTAGGTATTAGAGCAAAAACTTGAATCCAGGTCTCCTGATTTCTGTTCCAGATTCTTTCCATTACACTACACTACCCGTAACTGACAGATATCATATCTGGGAAGCAAACCTAGGCCCTCTAACTCCAAAATCCAATAATTTTTCCACTGTGTAATGCTGTTTGCCCCGAGTCAGAAGATTGAAGTTTGAATCATGGCTTTACCTATTATTAGCCAAATTACTTAATCTCTCAACTGCAGTTTCTTCTTCTGTAAAATGGAGATAATATCTATGCTACCTACTTCACTAAGTTGTTTTGAGGACAAGATGAAATCCTCATCTGTATTAAAGGGTTGGTAAACTTTGAAGTGTTGCAAAAGCTATTATCATCAACATGGAAAGTCTCTTGGAAGCTTTCTATCAGACACTGGTTCACAGGCACAGGCACGTCCAGCTACCTCATATTAGTCAAGATAGTGAGGTCAGCTTCCACGTTGGGAGGAGGGGCAAACACAACTCTAGAGTTTATCTTCTTTCCAAAGCTAGGCCTGCTCTTTGACAATGGGGTCAAGGTAAGGACAAGAAAACCCTTTTGAGAGAAGGAAATGAGTTACCCCACTTTGGCCCTCTTTTTCAAATCAGGTAGGAGGTCTTCATACTTTGTCATCTCATATAAAATGGAGTAGAACCTGACCTCTTCAATACAGAGATGAGAGCTAATGGTTTTAGAAGCAATTATTTTTTTTTCCTATTAAAAGCAAAAATGGAGGTGAGGAGAGCAGAGGTAGAGTTGGGATTTAAAACAAAACACAGAATGAGCTTTCATTAGTCTCACATCACCTGGCAGCACAACACAGAAACTCCAGTCTCAAAGGAAGAGGGTGGAACATTCACTTTGAAATGGAGCCCAGGCTATCTCCTCCCTGCACACAGATTACCAGGCACAGGATGCTGAGGGTACAAGGCAGAGAACTTGGCTCTATTAGCTTGTTTCTATTAGACATGGATGGGATTTGGGAAGAACACAGCTAGAATCAGAAAAAGCTCAGTGTGTGAGGAGCTCAAAGATTTGATTCCAATCCAGGTTTACAGGGTAAATTCAGTTCCGCTATGACTGGAGGCTCTCATCTTCAGTGTCTGTCATAGGGCACAAAAAAGCTCATTGTGCTGTTTGAGTGAGAGAAGGAATTGTAGAATAACAGAGGTTTTTTATCTGGAAAGCTCCAGGACTGGGAATTCTTATTCTGACATTGAAACTTTGCATCACTTAACCGCCTTTAATTTGGGGGAGGAGAGAGGAAAAAAGCACTTATTAAGTGCCCACTATTTGCCAGGCACTATGACAAGCCCTCTCCCCTTTAATGTAGTTGATTGGTTTGTCTCTGAGTGTGTTTGGATA